GTAGGGGGGTTGTAATTGTGTGGGTGAGCTGTAGCGGAGGGGAGAAAGAGGAGAGGGTATGCGGGTGGGGAGGGGCGAATGGCGAAGAAGAATTGTTATATATATCCACTGTACAAGGGACATGTAATCTACAGACGCGGCGCCCATTGTACGTTTCTCTTTATCGCGCAGTCTACAAGGCGGATGTGGAGCAGCTGATGGATCCTCAGGATTCCCTCTCGGAGAAGAACCGTGGGGCCAGGGCGGTCATCATCCTCGTCCCCGTTCGACTTGGCGGAGAGCATTTTAACCCAGTATACAAGCAATGTATTAAGGTAACCGGGGTCCGTTATTCCGTGTGGGTGGGCGCCGGCGGTTGGCTTGGTTCTTTGTCATGTGGTGGTCGTTTTTTGGAGAGAATCCAGGAGATGCAGAAAAGTAAGATTGTGACACCAATGGTTCTGTAGTCCGAAAAACAAGTTTGAGAAGTATTTTTTGATGTCGCCGTCTGCCCGCAAAGTAAACCTACACCCAGGGCTGGATTTCCCACAAGGCCCGGCCTCGGGGCAGCGGGGAGTAGAAGGGGCAGCGGGGATTAGAAGGGGCATCGGGGAGTAGAAGGGGCATCGGGGAGTAGAAGGGGCAGCGGGGAGTAGAAGGGGCATCGGGGATTAGAAGGGGCAGCGGGCATTAGAAGGGGCAGCGGGGAGTAGAAGGGCAGCAGGGGTGTGGAGTTCCTATCTCCCGATGCCGGGGACATGCAGTTCCGGGAGCCGGGCGGGGAGTTGTTCTCTACATTTAGCCCGGCTTTGGGCAAGCAGAGCTCAATGTACAGCGGGGGGAAGCGGACGCTTGTTTTGTACAAGTGATCCCGGCGATGTCTCTGAGATCACTTGTATGCAACCTGCGGGTCTGACATTCTCCATGGGGGGCGGGGCTTTCACGTAAGTCTGCGTCGATTGGTTGATTCTCCATATTGAATGTCTTCCCTCCAGGAGTTCCTGCAGATGCCGTCCTGCCTGGGCATTATCGGTGGAAAGCCGAAACATTCGCTGTATTTCATTGGCTACCAAGGTCTGTGCTGACGCCGGCTCATGTTTTATGGCTTTGGATTGGATTGTTACTTTGTATTCAATGTTTCTATTTCTATAGATAATCATTTATTATATCTGGATCCCCATTACTGCCAGAGCCACCTCGACACCAGCAAACGGGACTTCCCATTGGAGGTGAGAGATCTCTGTGTATTGGGGGGAGGAGGGGAGAGGTCGGCGTG